GGAGTAATCTGGTGCTTCGCAGGCGCACCAGATTCTGCCGATCTGAACCGTTAAAATTGTTTTGGCTTGATCTAAGCCATTTGAGGTCCGATTCGGGTGAGCCAATAGTGTTTTCAAACTATTTGGAATATTTCGGACACATCCGTACGGTCAGATTTTGCAAAGAAGGTTTTCCAAAATTTGCAGTTTTTTATTTTGGCAATCCGAAGTGATTTTCCGGCTAATTTGAGCAGTCCGGACTTCACAGCAAAGCCTATTTTTTCAAACAGAGATTAATTTCTGGATGATGGGGGAATCCACATCAGTTTCAGGGCCGATGATTCGGTTGAACGCTTCTAATTATGTGATATGGAAGCCGCGGATGGAGGACATCCTGTATTGTAGAGATTTGTTTGATCCTATAGCGCTAAAGGGGGTCAAACCAAATGGAGACAAGGATGTGGACTGGATAAAAAATAACCGGAAGACTGTCGGTCAAATCAGACAGTGGATTGACCACAGTGTGTTCCACCATGTTGCCCAAGAGACAGACGCCTATGCCCTATGGATGAAATTGGAGGGCATGTACCAGTCCAAGACCGCACGGAACAAAGCCTTGATAATGAAAAGGCTTATAAACCTGAAGCTGAAGAATGGTGTGTCTGTTGCTGAACACACCAGTGAATTCTCTATCTATGTGAGAAATTTGGTATGTAGATTCATGTGGACTCTATCTATATGAGAAATTTGATAAAAAATTTGATAAATCATTTGAGGTTCATAACATTTTCATTTTTTATTTCAATTTTTTTTGTCATTTTGTTTTAGATCCCATTTAGATATGTATAGGATTTTCTATTTCAAATTTTTTCTGTCATTTTGTTTTAATACACCCTAGTTGGATGGATGGTAGTATCTCAAAATTATTGTATTTTATGATTCATACCATTTCGTGCAATTGCATGTGTGACTCAAAATTTTTGGGATTGTGGATTCTAGCCATTTGAATGTTTGGATGCTCCTAACTGGCTTTGTTTGGCCTGAGTTATTTTAGCCAAATTTATATTAAGAAAAAGAGAATTTTTAATGAGAAGCATTCTGTTTTAGCCTCTAAGGTCACAAATTAAAATTTTTAATTTTTTGATTTTATAATTAATTTAAATTTTTTATTGACTAACTCTCATTTAAGCATTAAAAAATACTAACATATTATGCGTACTATGCATGAGATTGGATTTAAAAAATCAAAGAGTTAAAAAACTAAATTATAATTTTTTTTTGGTAAACAAAATACAATCTAATCATCATGTGATCAAAAAATATAGAGATTGTAGCAATCTAAACAATTTTTTTTTCTCATCATTGAGTTAAAAAAAAAAAAATTGATATTTAGAAAACACAATTATTTTTTCTTCAAAAAGCACACTAAATTAAAAGCCCAATCAGTTTAAATATAGCATCAATCTATATTTAAAAAACACAATTATTATTTTTTAAAAATACAGTGAATTAAAAAAACTCAATCAGTTTAAAAAATCACAATCATATTTTTACTCGTACTAATAAAAATAAATGAAAAAAAGAATCACTAAAAAATAAATAAAAAGATTAGTTACAAGCTTTTTGTAACTATGAAGGTGGCAATCTTTTTCCTTAAATTTTGTCCATTTTTTTTTTGGTATAGCGAAATAGGAAAAGAAAAGAAACAGAAGCAGAAAAATAAACAGAGACACTAAAGCCTCCTATAAGCCACTCCCACCATATCGGCAAGGACTTGGCTACGCACTTCAGCAGGTGGCTTCTCCACAACCACCAGGAATTCTGCTTGATCAGCTCCCATATTAGCAAGTATGTCTGCACATTGATTAGCTTCCCTATGATGTGCTGAATAGAGCAGCAGCAACGTTGCAACAAGTGAGGAGAATCTTCAACGATGCTTCGATATGAACAATTTGGAGGTGGGCCTTTTGTCAGAAGCTCCTCAGCCATAGTAGAGTCAGTTTCAATGATAACTTCACGGAGTCCTTTCTCCAAAACAATGGTCAGGCCGCGGTAAATGCCCTACATTTCAACTTCGAGGCTATAACAGTTTTCGAGCTTGCCGAAGAAACCGGACAGCCAAGTTCCTGCTTCATCGCGAAAGGCTTCACCAAAGCCTCCATCCCTTGGATGTCCACGTGCACACCCATCAGTGTTGAGTTTAATTTTCCCTGAAGAAGGAGGAAACCGGTTAATTAGAGTGGTTATCGGTGGGGTGGAAATAACATTCATACTAAGAGCTTGCAAAATCTGGTTAGCATAACTATGAATAAGGTAAAGACTGGTTCAAAATGGGATCCACATTATCAAAAACTTTTTTATTCCTGTCAAGCCAAATTTGCCAAAGAGAAGCAATGAAAAGAAGATTCCAAAAAGGGTCTGAAAGCTGCCGAGGTTTAAAATTCTTTTTTATCTAAGAGGTAAGACACAACTGACTATCAGCAAATAGCCATGGAGTACCAGCCACATTACTCCAAATAGTCTTAGTGACCACATAGTTGCGAAAGATATGCGCAGTGTCTTCAGTATGAAACCCACACGGAGGACATTCTGCATTATCAAACAACCCTCTTCTCATTCTCGTATCATTGGTAAGAAGCCTGCCAAGAAGGATCAATTAGAGAAAACATTTGAGGTTTTGTGGGATTTTCAGTTTCCACACCCATTCAAAATCCATATTCTCATCCACTTGATTAGAAGCAATTTTATAAGCTGTAGCAGTGGAGAACCCTCCCCCAATAGACCCCCTCCAATGAGGACTATCAGGAAATGTAACAAAACACGGAAGCGTTACTTTCAGAACACATCTGAGGGCCTCACTGGGGAGTTTAGCGTGTAACGCATCCATATCCCAGTTACCCTCAGCATCCAAAAGAGTAACCAACTTATCAGCGGTTAAAAGAGGATGATTGGAGAAAATAGAAGCCAAAGCCTCATCACCACACCACCAATCATACCAAATGGAGATACGAGAACCATCACCCACACTCCATTTTATCCCTTTCTTCAAGATAGCTCTAATTTGGATCCCTGTTAATGCAACCCAATTTGAGGAGAGAGAGAGTGTGTGTTTCTAGAAATTGACTTTAGTTTAGAAGAATATTGTTTGGTTATTATTTTTAGAATATACTTATCAAAAAATTATAATTTTTTATATTTTATATTTTTATATTTTTATTAATTTTTTTAATATTTTTAATATTTTTTTTAATTTTTAAATGTATCTAACATAAATATACTTATAAAGTATAATATTTGTAAAAAAAATCTTTATAAAATTTACTAAATATCAAAAATATATTAAAAAAAATAAATGAAAATTCAATATATTTTTTAGATTCTTCTGTATTTATTAATTTTTAAAAATATTTTTTAAAAATAGATATATCTAAATAAGGTGCATATAAAAAAGTAAAAATTACTTAAAATTTTAAAAATATTCATTAAAAACAAAAAAAAAATACAAAAAAGCAAAACTTAATTTTTAAAAAATTGAAACCAAAAAACTGAATAGTACTATTTTAATTAAAAGTTAGATAATTTATTTTTAAAATATAATAATATAGTAATTTATTAAAATATTTGAAATAATTTTTTTCTTTCATATTTTTTTTAATCATCAATTAATTATTATTTTTAAGTGAATCTTAAAAACAGATTGAAAAAGAGGACTTTTATACGTTGTTTTTTTTAAACATGTGAAACATGAAAGCTCATGTTAGGATTGAAATAATGGGACAGGGCTCTAAGATGAATAGAGAGTTAAAAGATGCCTACAAAAGATATGGTCGTGTGGGTTGGTGGCCATTTTAACCACTCCAATCTATCTAGAAAGCTTCTTTGTCCCCATTAATTCATTATATCAATAAACATTGCATATTTTATTAAATTTTTTTTATGTCATCCAATAATCACATACCGACACAACTAACATCTTAAAAGTTATTTGATCTCTCCTATGACAAGATTGATGGTTTAGATCAAATGCCTCATTCACTTAAATAAATATTATGACAAATTATTTTATCCAAATAAGGTTGTATAGTTTATTTGATTAACATATTAACATGTCATATGAATAAATAAAAAAACCTAAAAAAAATAATAGTATTATTTTGGTATCAACTCAAATAATTATCATTAACAATAATGATATATAAAACAGAAATATATGCACAAAATACATACAAAATGATGTGACAAAATTGTATTCCTAACTCTAAAAAAATAAATAAATAATTTATATTAAGAGCTGTGCTTCTTCATATAAAAAAAAAAAAAATCATTATAGTAAATGAACCTATATAAAAAAAATTTAAAAATAGCATTTTTTTATCATTAAGATACTTACACAAATATAAAACAAAATCAATAAATCAATACAATGAAGCCACTGTGGAAAATTATTCAGTGAAACAAGATTATTATAAGTGATTTTTAGTCCCGACCAATCAAGGACAAATAAAAATCTGAGATTCCATTTTTGTTGGATTTTGGAAGAGATGGATCCTATTGAATATGAGATCATTGATCACATTTGTTAAGCTCACTGATTATCATGATTGATTAAGATCAAAATTTTACATGGTGATATGAGATTGTCTAATAATATTCACCGACTTGCATATAGGGCAATAAAAGGAAAACAAACGACTCCGTAGTGAACAAGTGTCAATAGCATATTGGTGGATATGGTATTGAGGCCATGTTGTCATTGGATCACGATGAGGTTGGCCTAGGGTTTGGTGGGTAGGAATGGTTGAAGGTGGTTGGACGAGCCCATAGTTCAAGATCATCTACTAAAAGGTGTGACTTAGACGACTCAGCCCCTATCCCAATACTTTGCCACTCATTTCCTTCAAAATTAACCTAATACCACAATGGTTATCATGTAATAATCCCAAAACCCTATTACCCATTTAGTAATTTCACTCTTTTGCTTCCATACTAATAGTGGCATTTTGGTAAATGACTCCACCCAAGAAAATCTAAACCTCCATGCACAAACCATCTTTGTCAAAATGTTAGCTGTAATTAAAAAACCTAAAGAAAGACTAGCAATGGCTGCGTCTTCTTCAAGGATGAGGTAACTACGCTCCATTAATACTCAACTTGGTCCTCGTACTTCCGTTCCAATTGCCTTTTTGTTTCAAGAAATCAAAAACACTTTGTTTAATTGCTTTTTGTTTTCTGATTTCTTGCAGCAGTGAAAATGGAGGATAATCTTCCTCCAGGGTTCAGGTTTCATCCCACTGATGAAGAACTCATAACTTACTATCTAAATCAAAAGCTCTCCGATTTTAGCTTCGAGTCACGTGCGATTGTAGATGTTGATCTCAATAAGAATGAACCTTGGGACCTCCCAGGTAGCCCTATAATTTTGATTTACTTTTGTCCATTTTCATATATCAAGTTCCTTTATTCTTTAAACTTCTTGAGTTGTCTGTTCTTTCATCAGAACAAGATTGATTCACGATTAATTTTCTTTTTCAACTTTCTATTGTCAATAAAATTCAATACTCATCAGTTTTCATTTTCTTTCTGCTTTACTTCAATGTTGTTAGTGGGTATAAAATGCAAATTATAGGATGGTCTTTCTGACAGTGGATGTCATGAATGATTGAAATTTAGATAACTAGAAAGACCCTAAATGAACCAAGTCAAACTAAGTAGAAAGGCCCCAAATGAACCAAGTCAAAAAGTAATAAGTTGTTTGAACTTAATTAAAAATTTTAACAAGTTTTTAAAATTTTTAAACTTGATTTGCTTATTTTTTGAATTGATCTCAAACAAAATTTAATTGAACCGATCATGAGTAGAACTCTAGTAATTTAGTTTTTTATAGTTCATTGAGTAATAAATTATTTAAGTTTAGCTTGAAATTTTGATAAATTTTAAAATATATTTAGATTTAACCTGTTTAATTAATGAATTATTCTTTAATAAATTTTTAATGAATTAAACACGAGTCCAGTTTTCATAGCCCAATGTCCAATTTGGTCTAACTGAAGCTTTATTGTTTTCCAAAAAAATGTTTAATCAAATTGTAACTTTAATGAAAAAATTTAGATTAAACCATGGTCATTGACTCTATTCTCTCTCTCTCTCTCTCTCTCTCTCTCTCAACATTGGTAGAAATGGGGAGTCTAGACATGTATAGTAATTGTTTTTGAAGCTTCTATTCTTGCATACATACATAATATCTGTGTATATACAATACAATAGATGTAGGAGAAAGCTGTAAGGAAATTTCAATGATTTGTGGAACCCAAGAAAAGAATTACCTGAAAAGTCAATTTTGTGCAGCCAAAGCATCCATGGGAGAAAAAGAATGGTACTTCTTTAGCTTGAGAGACCGAAAATACCCGACTGGCCTGAGAACCAATCGGGCTACAGAGGCCGGTTACTGGAAAACAACCGGCAAGGACAAGGAGATCTTCAGTGGTGGCGTGTTGGTTGGGATGAAGAAAACCCTGGTTTTCTACAAAGGTAGAGCTCCCAAAGGCGAAAAAACCAACTGGGTTATGCATGAATACAGACTAGAAACCAAGCTTTCTTTCAAACCAACAAAGGTAAATAACCATGTAAATGCATGTCAATGAAGAAACAGATCGGTATTGATATTGCGGTGTAAACGCATTGGAAGCATAGAGCAAAACGTAGGGTCGTTAATTTTATTTTATTTTTTAATTTTCGCCACAAAAAAAAGTTTTATAACAGTTGAAAATTATCACCACAAAAAAGAGTTTTATAACAACTGAATTGATTGCATTAACTTCAAATCAGCCGTCTTGGCTTTGAATTGAGTCATTAATTAGTTATGAACCGATACCATGAGATTCATTTTTTCTAGTCGCAAGTCCCCTATAAGGCTTAGTTGATCTGTGATTTATCTTTCAATCTTCAGTTTAAGCTCTTCTGTCCATTCCATCTAAAACTTTCTTTTTTTAATGAATCAATATATATTCATTACTAAAGGGAGGCGAGTGCATAAGTATCTTAGCAAACTAGACGATTCCAACTAGGTCGGGACCAAAAACCAAGCCAATCTACTAGCATTGATTTTCATTAATAAATTTTCTTTTACTGATCAAAAAATATATATTCATCCTATTGAACTAAAAGTAAATTTTTTGATATTGTGAAAAATCAATATGCATTTGAAATTTTTATTTCTATGGATAAACCTATCAATATGGGGAGGTTAAAAAACGCAATACAGATTATATCAGCCGATATTTAAAACTATTGTATACCCCTTAATTAATTAGGAGATAGTTCATAACCCTCATTGATTCTTGAATGTTTTGTTGTTTAGGAGGAATGGGTTGTATGCAGGGTCTTTCACAAGAGCTCATCAGCAGTAAAGAAACCACATCCTGAAACACCATCCTCTCAACAACCATCTCTTGCTCTTGACTCTCCTAATTGTGACACTAACACATTAATGGCGAATGAGTTCGGGGACATAGAGCTGCCAAATTTAAACTCATCAAGTGCTATAAGCAACTTGTCACTACAAAACTACAACAGCGAAAACAATGGCAATAACAACATGAATATGATCAACCTGAACATGAATTGGCCTGCAGCGAGGGAAGCAGCAGCATTGTCATGGCCTTCTAGCTTTCTAAGTCCGAATCTGTCGATGAATTCCTTGCTTCTCACGGCATTGCAGCTTAGGAGTTATCAACCAAGAGAAGCTGTGAATACCGATTACTCATACATGCCACAAGGAATTTCTCAGTTTGGGACTGATTTTAGTTTGAATTTCCAGGGTTCTTCTTCCTCGTCGAAAGTTTTGGATTCAGTGCAGCAACAGCCTCAGGAGCAACCATTCAATTTGGACTCCATTTGGTGAAGCTCAAGATTCATCACCAAGATTTTAAATATCAATCAACTGATACATATAAAGATTTTGAATTTCTGATACGGATATCAATCCACAGATAAATCGGCAAATTGTCCAATATCAACCCATATATGACCGTATTATTGATCCCAATATATATTGTGATACAGTTATTTAAAATCATGGTCAAAACTAACTTGTGAATTTCTTGTATGCAATTTATCTTTGAGTTGGGTAAAAAAAAAAAATTGGAGATATGACTCATTGTTGGAAACCTTCTTAGATTACAATTTCACTTGGTAATGGGCCAAAGCTCATGATAACATGTAAGTTCAGTGTCATAAGAAAATGTAAGTTGGTGTAGTTAGATATGCCAACCTGGGAAAACCCTCCTTTCTATCCTTCATTTATGTTGTCACTTAGTTGGTACACCATGTTTTCCTTAGATGTTCATTGTAAATGAAAGTTTCAACTTATAGGAGCAAATAAAATACTTTACAAGCAAAGATATTCCATTGTTTGTGTAATTATTCAGTTGTTTTTTACCATCACCATATCTTTATTTTCAGTTATTTATGGTCAGTTATGAGCCGATGCCATCCCGAGTCTCACTTTATAGCGATTGATCATAAAACACTAAATAATGTTAAAAAATTTAGTTTAGATCACTAAAAATAATATGTATGACCATAAATAAAATAAAAAATTTTAAAAAAACTATAATCAGCTTGTTTGATTTGGTTTCCAGGATTTACCTTTCAAAAATTTGATTTTTTTTTTTGTTTTTTGTGTTTATTTTTGTTTCATTGATTTTTTTTAATATTCTAATCAAATTTTTTTAATTTTTAGATACACCTAACATAAATACACGTAAAAAATATAATATTTGTGAAAAAAATCTTTCGAAAATTCACTAAATACCCCCAAAAAAAAAAGAGAATTCTGTACATTTTTCGTATTCTTGAATATTTATTGATTTTTTAAATACATCCAAGTAAGATGCATCTAAAAAAGTAAAAAATATTGCTTAAAATTCTAAAAATATTCACTAAAAATAAAAAAATACAAAAAATCAAATACTAAATTTCTAAAAAATTGAAACCAAACACAATGAATTTGATTTATAATAAAAATACAACACAAAAGTATCATGACTAAGGCACTATTTGGCATAAACTAAATATTTAGATCACATCATTTCTCTACTTTTCTACACATATTTTTTTTAAAAATTAAAAAATATGGTGTCATTTGGCAAACTTGGCTTTTTGGCTTTTTTGATTTTTTTAGCCTCCGACTTTTTTGTTCGTTTGGTTTTTTTGTTTGACTTTTTTGGCTTTTTTGCATTAGAATGACAAAATTGCCCTCCATTTGGAAATGATGTTTTTTTTACTTTTTGTTTGTATATGGGTTAATTTGGTAATTTTGCATCAAAAGTTAAGTGTTTTGTCATTTTGTGATTTTGTGACTTTTTTTTGTCCTTATGTGCTTATTTAGTCACAATATGTTTACCAAACCAAGGTTTATTTAAATCATCCCAAATAGCCCCAAAGTCTAATTCAGTATATAACAAAACACCACAAAATCTTATAACTAATGTCATTGCGATTGAAAACTAAATATTAAAGTCTCATAATCAAAAACCAAAATCAGTTTGGGTTATAACTAAAAACATGGCAAAAGTTTTAGAATCAATCAACCACCGCAAAGCCTTACAATCAGGTGCACCACAAATGTTAGTGTGTAAATATTTGTCTATAACATTGTATTCAATTATAACTACAGACTAATTTACTATTTTTTTTACCAACTACTCGCATATATATGTAAAAAAAAAAATGATAAATTAATTTGTATCCCTATTTTTTTTTTTAGTAATCCCAAACTTCCTTGAAGTCAAAACAACACAGTGCATTTGGTTTGACTTTCTTAGACTCTCAAACCAAACAATTTGTTACCGAGTCCTAAAGCTGGTGGGCCTGGGCTCCATTGTTCACCACTTCCGTCCTTCTAAAGGCCCAAAGTAACTTTTTTAGTCTAGGCTTTTTAGTCAAAATTCAGATGTTCAGTTTGGGCCCAATACAAAGTCAAAGCCGGGGATTCTATTTTCCTTTCCAATTGAACCGGGCTCCTCTTCAGTTTTAAAAGTAAACTGGACTGGACAGTCAAAATAATAAGATGGCGACACATCATCAAAATTGGAAACTAATGGCTCAGATTAAATTAGACACTCACAAGCTCTTTGAAAGATCTTATCAACATCGTCTTTTACAACCGTCAATGTTAACACCATCTCTGTGGGATTTTCATGTTTCTCATTGAAATCCCTAACTCTCTCTCCCTACCTCTTTCTCCCTCTCTCTCTCTCTCTCTCTCTCTCTATATATATATATATATATAAATGAGTTTACCACACTGACAAGCACTAGTCCTAGGCAAAGGCGAAGAAACAACAATAATACGTGGCCAAAGAACTGAGGCTCTGCATGGGTAAGCTCAAAACCATTAGAATTCCGATCAGTTCAATCTAGGGTTTCAAATTTCTTGTTCAAAATATGTATATTATGTATGTGTGATTTGTGTGCTTGAATCGGGATTCATTGATGTAGGGGTTCATGAAGTTTTGTTTCCAATTGTTAATTACTACAATTTGATAGTGTTTCTGCAGAGTTTGCCATTGTTTCATTTTCTACTTTTGCTAAACTATGCTGAACCTCCGATTACTTTTTGATTGGAAGTTGAAATTTTGTGGAAAAAAAAAAGTCTGAACATGGCTTTCTCTATCCTTCTGGGTTGTATATTAAATTTTTGCTCTGTTTTTATCCAGTAGCGTTTGGTTTGAGTTTTCTAGATTAAATTTTTTGAAAATTGAGTTTTTTTATTTTTATATTTTTTTTATTTTTAGTGAATATTTTTAAAATTTTAAACATTTTTTTTATTTTTTTAGATGCACCTTATTTAGATGTATCTAAAAAGTAAAAAATTTGTGAAAAAAGATTTTAAAAAATTAATAAATACATAAAAATACACAATATGTACTGAATTGTTGTATTTTTTTTATATTTTTGGTATTTAGTGAATTTTTAAAATATTTTATTTACAATTTTTTTACTTTTTAGGTGTATTTATGTTAGATGTGTCTAAAAAGTAAAAAAATTACTTAAAATATTAAAAAAATTCAGCAAAAACAAAAAAAAATATGAAAAATAAGAAAGTTAAATTTTCTGAAAAGTATTTTTTAAAAAATGGAAACAACCAAGGTGTTCCAATTCTGAGTTATGAAGTATGGACACCATATCCATACCCTGTATGGTGCTTCATATGGTTCTTTTGTATATGTATCGGTACTCGAAACAAGTATTTAATTAATTTTTTTCTATTCATTTTTTACCGTACTCGAACAAATTAATATATATCCAAATTGTATCTCAGGCGAAATAGTATTTTATTCTAATAGAGAAATAAAATTTCTTTAATTAGAATTCAAATTTTTATTTTCATGATATTTTCTTAATTATTTCTATCAGGTTGTAAAAGATGGAGGTTGAATTCTCCTATTAAGTGGGTTTCAACTTTCAAGGATTTTAGAAGAACTTGTGGAAGGAAGCTGTTGATAAACAACCTGAGGATAATCATCCATGATGCATCTGGGACTTGCTTCATGCTCTTCATTACCCATCATTGCTACTATACCGCAAGTGGGATACAATTTAATTAGTGTCTTTTGGATTGTACTTTGTGGATGAATTTAAGTCATCGAAAGGGGTTGGAGAATGTAAGGAAATGTACTGTACACTTGAATAGTTAAATGAACATCTTATAAAAATTCAAATATTTCATCACTTGCATTATTTTGGACCCTTTTGATTTAACTGAATATTTTCTTGTGCTCATTATAGATTTACAAAGCATTTTCTTCATTTACAGTTCACATGAAAAGTGCAAAATTACTAGAAAAAATACTGTTCACATTACATTGAAGAGTCAAATAAATTATTTATAAAATTCTACAAAAAAAAAAAAATGCATAAAAGGAATAACAATTGTACTTCTACCTCAAAAAAATTGTAAAAGGATGAAAGTACTAAAACAATTCCACTAATCAATTACTGGAACTAAACAAGCATTAACAAATGAAGAACATAGGGTCATTTTGTTTCAACGCATAGTACTTCCAGATTCATGAGAATCTAGAAATGAAGAACAAAGCATAGAACAGGGCATCTAAACTCCCTGCAATAGAATAATAATTGAAGATACTAAACAATAGTGCAATCTTGAAATGAATAATATAAATGGAAAATTAGATAATATTTTTTTTACCATTTACAATTGAGTGAATGAAGAATCGTTACAAGCTTGAGGTGTTTCTGGAATCATGCATGCCATGGAACTAGACATCCCAACACCCTGCAAATGAAGAATACTAATATAACTTAAGTTTTAATTTCATCTTATATGATCACAACAACAAGACATTTCTACCTGTAATGAACAATCTAATAGTGGGGGATAAGTAGTATCTGCAAAAGTAGTAGATGAGTGAGGGGTTGATTGAGGTTCCAACATTTGTCTGCTTTTCTTGCTCTTTGCTTGCAACTCAACCCAACTCTTAGGCCTTTTTCTTGGCCTACCTTTCCCCAAACCCTCTTTTTTCTTTAACCCCTTTGCTCCTAAGGTATGTAAGTTATGAGGTTGATTTTTGTCCAAAACTTCTTTGCATGATTTCGATGAAAAAGGTGCATGAGCTTCACTTGCTTGTTAGCCAACACTAGGTTGTTGACTTAATATATCATCAATCTTTTTTGCCATCTCAACTATAAATTTCGCAAGCATGTCCGTTGTTTCTAAACTTTCATCCGCACAACAACCCAACTTAATCAAATTGGGGCATAACATCCTATAACGAAAATTCACATCCAAATCAGCTGCTATATGTGTATCTATACAGCTATTAATGTCCTGTACTATTCCATTTTTTGCTTTCTTAGCCTATCTCTTCAGTAAGTATTGTTTTGGTATATCCTTGATGTTCATCATGTCAAGACCTTTCAAAGCATGGGCACACAAAATTCCATAACTCTCAAACAATTTACAAGTACATGACACCATTGGGCCTTGTAAGTTGACTTTAACTTCACGAACTTTAGGCTCATCAAGCACTTTCACCACATAGTCATGTGAAAAGTTGCTTTCATCTTGTTTCCAAGCAAAAGCAGACAGGCTTTTCAAAATTTGCTCTTTAAATATCTCAAAAATTGGGTTTGTATAAAAATCTCCTGCATTGATCAACAAGGGAATGGGCAAGCCAATTTTTGGCAACTTCTGACGAGAAGCATACTCGCAATCAAACTCAATATGAGTAATATCATCAATAACCCTCTCAAAATGCTTGAAGAAATACAATATCCCCAAATTTGATTGTAAAAAAGTACATAGTTTACCATTGAAGCTTTCGCTAACTTG